GCCTAAGGGCCACCTTAGCAAAGCGCATCCCAGGCTGCATAGCCGCACTACCCTACCCAACCATACCACACATAAACATGACACTACCCCCGGGGTTTACACAGACGAGCCGGCGAAGCAAGAAGAGCGCCAGAAGAAAGGGCCCTAGCCGGCGGGGCCCAGCCAGGACAAAAGGAGGTCCCACAAAGCGCCTACACCGGCCGCATTTGCGGTCGGGGTAGACGACGGATGGGGCCCAACTACGAAGGCTGTCCAGGCCTACACGAGATGAGGCAGGATAAAGAGGGATAATCCTCCTCGATCCCAAATCATTGAGGCCAATTTCTAGCCATGGAATAATGGCGCTGCGAGTTGATATTTCGTATCCTGCTGCCACTGCTGCCAGTCTTTTTTCTGTTTTGTGGTTGCCAGTTTGTTGCCAAATTGGTGATTATATTATTGCACATAACCTCAACTTATGTAAATTGTAAAGAAATTTAGAAGTTATAATAAATATAAAAGTACGTCCTGATAAGTTGCTGCATGTACATGTACATAATAATTTACTTTATAAAAAAATTAAATAACTAGTTCAATTTACGGAGAAGGGGAAGTTTGGCAAAAATAAATAACACTAAAGTTTATCTTTTAATTGTTTGATATTGAAAGAGATGGAAACAAACAATTCCACAGGAGAAATTTTGACGTTGGAATGAGTAATATATTGTAAGTATTCTGTGGTCTGTATAGCCTCACCCTGCTTAGTAGTGTAAAAGTTCACTATTAGAAAGTTAGAAACAATAGATGCTCTCTTGGTATTTAGTTTATAATATTTATGCTTGGTATACAAGTAATGGTTGGTTTATAAAAAAGTATTAGTCCTAACTTAGCCGTAACTTAACCTTAATCTTAGTCCTAAAAAGTTAAATGTACAGAATGTAATGTATCGGTTTATAAAAATCTTAACCTTGCCCTAGTTCTATACATACATTTTGTACATTTAAATTTTTAGGACTAAGATTAAGGTTAAGTTACGGCTAAGTTAGGACTAATACTTTTTTATAAACCAACCATAACACGTGTTATAAGTATGTTAATATGTTTTTTACTGTCTTGTTAATTTTAACTTCTTTTCAGCTCTACAATATAATTTATTGCAAATTCGGACAAAACTTGGTAGATAAGGAGGAACCAAGAAACAATAAATAATACATAATTGAATTGAAGCTACAATTAGTCTGTGAGTAAATACATATGAACTTTACATGAATAGGTACAGCTTAGTTTTTAAACACATATTGGCCACCTCAATCAAATTTAAAATACAATTGAAGTTATTTGTGAATTCATAAAAAAGTCTCAGCCCTAACTTAGTCCTTAGACTTTGTTTAAGAAGCTAAACATACATATTTAAATATGCTGGTTTATAAAAATCCTAACTCAGCCGGTTGTATACCAATCTGGAAATCTTGGGAAACATCGATTTGTCAGGAAATAGTCGGAGAAATATCGGGGAATTTCCAAATTCCAATTGACTGTCAAATGTTTGTTGGTTGACTGTCAGTAAAAATTAATATATGCTATTAATATACTTCCTACCAGTCTATATCTGCTGGGTTAAACTAACGAACGATCCTAGCTGTTGTACTCTTGGAGCATATTCTACTGGAGGCAGCGTCTCAGTGGCCGAGAGTGTAGCGGAGGTTTAGAGAGAGAGAGAGAGAGAGAGAGAGACTCGGCCACTGGGACTATGCTCTAAGGTTGTTCTAGGTGTTGCGAGTATAATCCCATGCCGGTCAGTGCAAGTAACCCTGTAGTTGTTTCTTGCAACACTGGAAATTTAAAATATACTTTCTGTTTCTGTTTTTCAAATCCTTACTAAACCAAATATAATTATCACTGCACAACAGGGACCATGATGTACAGAAAATATCAAATGGGCAAAAAGGTGCTGGATTTAATACTTATCAACATACCATTCAGAAAACAATATAGTTCCTATTCATTTCGATTTTATCTCTTAAAAATAAGTTGCAACTTCATTACCTACAGTCTAATTGAAAAAATTTCTGAGCTTTCCTTTAAAATCATGTAATTTGTTTTAAGATATAATAATTATAATAATCATTTATTTTTAAATAAAATCCAATAATGACATTCATAAAAAAATTATTTTCTCATAAATGTTGGTTAAAAAAAGAAACCAGCATAGTTAGCTAGTAAAAAAATATAAAAACTCACAATTTTTTTCTGTTGGGCTATAAAAGTTAATTTAGCTAATAGCTAATAGCTAATTTTTAAAAAAGAATTTTTAGTTTTTTTTTAATAGAGTAAATTCTGCACTATGTCCATATAATTTTTAAAATATTTCGAGTCTCCAAATGTCAAATGCAAAATAAGTGCTACCTAAATATATTGGCCAATATTTAAGTAATTTAGAAGAAAATGACCAGTTTAATCCTCTAAAATTAAAAAATACATTTCTCCCAAAATATGAGGAGTTATTGGCTCAATTCTAAAAGCTTTAATTTATTTTGACTAAACTTAAATTTCATTATATTATATACAAGGGTGGTCTGAAAAGTTTCCGACCTAACAAAGATACAAGATATTTTTTCAGAATTTTTTTTTTTTATTTTTCAACATAGTCTCCTTGTAACTCTACACACTTCTCCCAGTGATGCTCTCGTCTCTGTAACCCATCCAAATAGTACTCGGCGTTTTTCTCTGCAAAATAATTGTTCACGAAGATGATTGCCTCTTCATTTGACGAAAATCTCTGTCCTCCGAGTGCAATTTTTAGATGAGGGAACAAAAAGAAGTCGCAACTTGAATTCCATACATATATGTTAACTAGGGTTATATGAAAATTATTAATAGACTAAATATTAACTCCCACAATAAAATTTGTAATAATTTAACCAAAGAAGTAAAATTTGTTGATTTTGTGTAGAACATATTATTAATTAGCACTATCAGTAGTACCTGAAAATTCCTAATACCTATTTTTCGAAAATATATCCATGTATAAAATTAATTTTAATAAATTGAAATAATGACATTTTCTACTAAATAAAAAATCGTGTACATTGAGACTCCTTATTTGGTATTTAGATCAAGCAAAAATTATTAGAGGAAAAAATGTTAAAATCGTAAATAAAAATGTTTGCTATTTGAGATAAATTTTATGATGTCCATTGAATTAGTGAATGGAAATGACATTACATCCTCTCAAATTGGGAATTTTTGAAAATCTACCTGGAATACTTGGAAATATGAAAAAAATTAATCTTAGCCTAATCTTAACCCTAAAGAGGTCTTGAGACATAACTTGAAAGTTTCTATCTTTTAATTTAAGATGAGGATTTATGTCATTTAAAAAATCTTCATGCTACTTGTAATGTAGTTTGAATTTATACTATGGACTCCAGATGGTAGCTTGAGGTGTGTATGCGAACATGGAAAAAGGTTTGGACCATTCTGGTACTAACTTAAAGACACTTGTATATCGGCTCTAGCAGCTTGAGTTTTCCAGATATTTTGAAAAAAAAGAATTATTTAATTTTTATGAATTTTTGAAATCTTTAAAAACATTATTATGGCGACTTCTCACTGTGAATCTAGATTTTTATTTCAATGTGATTCCAAGAAATATATTTTTTTTGCAACTTTCTCTTTCATTTTTGTTTTTTTTTAATTTAAAAATGCTCTTTTCATTTAACATAAATTTAATATAGCACCCATGATAGAAAATACAGTTGAAAAGAAAATGATGATGGATAGAGACTTCATATACATAAAAACAAAAATATGAGGTACTATTGGAGCCATTCGCAAAAAACTGCTAGGATAAAATTTTATAGATTTCAATAATGCATAAAAATAAACAAGTTGTTTTTCAAATTATTTTTGAACTCAAACAAATAGAACCGGTTTATGAGTGGTATTAAATTAATTACAGAATAATGTTAATACTACTCCATTTAACTGTTTTTCTATAGTTCCCAATACACATATACTAAAAATGCTGTATCTTTTCCATTGCGTCACAAGCAATATTCGTATGAACTAAGACGAAAAATCCTAGTCAAATTAGTCACTGTTTGCATATAAATGAAATGTCATCTTGACATTTCCCAAATCTGGATATCTCACAAATTTTAGTAGGTACTAGTGTTACTGGATACGAAAATATGCAAAAAAATCGATATTTCAACGCTCAGAAAATATATCCAACAGTTACATACCGAGATGCGATCAAAACAACTGTTAAAATTTTAATCTGACTGTCAACTCTGTTTTAAATGCGCTAGTCAAACTATAGTCTAAAACTAATACCCAACAAACGTCCTCCATTTTCTTTCATTCTAATACACATAAAATATTGGAACGATTGTCTGTGATAGACTGAGACTATGAAGACATTTATGCCATTACTGTATCTCTTTTTGGCGTATATCAAATAATTAATTCACGCCCGCAACGACTGTCTTTGATATTAGGACACACTCGTGACATAATGGCAATCTTAAAACGGTTCTACTATATCACCAAAATGGCCCATCCTATATTCTATATGTGAAAATATTTTATTGAGTGATTGGATATACATATTTTACTTCATAACAAGTATTATTTTATTAAACTCCTTTCTACCTCACAAATTAACAAAACAGGCAGATGCTTAGTTTTGGAAATATTTAGTTTCAGGTGTTCATGTTGAAATGTCTGAAATTGGTTTATCAAATATATGTAAAATAAGGGTAAAAGCTTAAAGGTAAATAAAAATTGACCTAGGTATTCACTGTAATTAAATGAAGTGACAACAATGAATTTTTTCTTTTATTTAAGTCTGGAACTTTAATTAACTTTATTACTCAATTCGCTGTTTATTATTAAATTGTTTTTTATTTTTCACACATTAACAGGTCAAAGAAAAAAATCATGAATAACTGATAGGTAATGCAATAACTTTTTTGTTATTTAAATTTTTTAATAGTTTAAATTATTTTCTGTCTAAAAAATATTAATGTCTGATTTTAAATAAGTGACTAAATGTTTTGCCAAAAAAAAAAAATGGGACAAAATTGCACCTATACTTCGGATTGACCTGCCCCTAAGTGATTCTGGTTTATAGTTGTTACTTGAATTTATGACGGATGGTAAATTTTCATTAGTTTATGTTTATTTTTAGGTGTATTGAACGTATTGCAAAAAAATTGTTTCAGGAATTTTAACTTGAACATCCTGTATCTCAATCAAGAACTAAGCATTTTTAACCTATGTGTCACTTTTTCTTTATTTGGATGGGTAGGATATGTTTCTGAAGTAGTGACCACATTTTTGTGACATTCCATATAAAAATATCTCCCAAACAGCTTCTACTAAATGCAAAATTATATTTTTGCAAAAAACTTAGATTTTATTAGTGTCTACTTCTGATTGTAAAATATATTGGCCAATACACTACTTTATATTACTAAATAATTGGAATAGAATAATATTTTATGGCCAAAATACCTGCAACAAAATAATTTATGGTATCCTGCCCTGCACAGCCGATCCTGATTTGAATGCTTACGAAGGACAATGGAGGCTAGCCTCCATTGAGAATCTATGTGGTAAAGGAAGCTACAGTGAAATCAGACTGTGTGGCTCTTATGTATAAACAAAATAAATCAAAGAAAATCACTTTTGAAGAACTGATCTCCACTGATTCAAAGAATGACGATTTCAGTCTTCCAAACTATTTTTTATTACACATGCGGTGAAATCTTGGGGTCCAAGGGCGAAGCCCCCCTGGTGTCCACAGATTTTTATTCAGTTTAGGTTTACATAAATAACTATCAACTGTCATTAATTTAAATGTACTTTTTAAAAATAATATATTTATTGCTCATGCGGGATAAGTCCTATCTTTCCGCTTGTTTTTTAGGTCGGTAGATAGCTGTTTGCTTACTCTATTTATTGGCGTGCGGTAATCATACTTGTCGCATGCGAATTGAATAAAACACGCAAAATGTAAATACACACTCGAAAATATTATTTTTAAAAAGTGACATTTAAATGACAGTTAGATTTCATTGCATTCGTAATAAAAAATAGTATGTGCAATTCGTGCGGTTGTTTATTGCATCCACTTGAGTGGATCAGTGCACTCACTTCATTCGTGCGCTCAACTCCACTCTCGTGGGTAATAGACAACTTACCGCACTTATTGCACAATATCCTATTTTGAGTGTATTTAAATTTTGGGTGTTTTATTGGCAATTCGCGGGCGACAAGTGTGATTACCGCACGCAAATAAATAGAGTAGGCAAACAGCTATTTACCGACCTAAAAAACAAGCGAAAAGATAGGACTTATCCTTCATGAGTAATAAAAAATATATGTTGTAAAATTATGTCTGGCCGAACTATTATGAGCCTGGACTCGTAAACTTATGAGTCTGATTACCTCCCAATTTCTAAATAATAATGAAAATAAGTAAACATCATCCAGGAAAAATATTTACAGATTCTGAAGTAGGCTTCATAGTAGGCATAAAATTGAAATTTGTCTTTGGTGAGTTGAGTGAGTCTAGTCTAAAGTCTAAATATAATAAATTTTAAAACTAATTGATAACTTTTTATTAGACAAATTGAAAATGCATATTTATCTTGCCTTTAAAAAATATCTACCTTATAATGTCCAAAATATGTTTGGAAATTTTACAACAATTATATTAATAAAAATTGAATTGAATAAAAAAAAGTGCCGGTGACGCTATCCTAGACTGTTATTGAAGAAGTCCCTCTTTTAAGACTAAGACCACAACAAGTACTCATGCACATTCATCATATTTAACATTAAGTTAAGATTAAATTTTTGTAAGTGATGTAAAAATATTAAGATTAAGACTTATTAATATTAAGACTAAGTCTAGGGCCTAAACTTAAGGTTAAAGTTACGACTAAGATTATTTTATAAGTTCATCATATATACTAATTGGCCATTCCATTATTTTTCTCTAATGAATATAGAAAAAAAGATTTGTAATTTAGAACTGATTTGATTTTTTTGGTTTGTTACATGTAAAGTTTTTACAGGTTACTTGCTTGCTACCATAAAAAATGGATGCCATTAACTATATCTACAATCGAAAATTATGGAAGGCAAGTTGTACTCTGTCGGACAAAAATTCTTTTTTTCATGCTGCCTTTGGTGTAGTGACTAACGAGAGTGGTCCATATTTAGACAAAAGGGTAAAATTCAGACGCATGCGCTGGGCAACATTTTTAACATATTTTGAAGATGAAACCATGCCACCCTGCCTGGCAGATATTTTGAAAAAATGCTTATCTACAAGTGATAAATACAAACATGTCAAGGACCAATGTCAGGTTGACAATTATGTAAGTGATATTATGAAGGCAGTGCATGACGTTGCACCAGAAGAAATTCCTATTTTAGCGACGCTGGAGAATATAAAAATTGTCCTCTTCAAAGAAGGAGAGTCGGAACCAGTAATAATTATAAACCCCGACTTTGAAATTCTTGGGAGTTATCCTAATTCGGAAAAACCCAAAAGAGAGGCAGTTTTGCAACTAAAAGGAAATGTTTTTTCGAAGATGAATTCTGTCGAAGAAGAACCTGCCTTAAAATCGGTCAAAGATGAAAGTGTAGATCTCGAAGGTACTAAAAACAGCACAGAGCATATTGGCAGTGGTTTGATTAGATATAAAAAAAGTGGTAGTGCCGGTAGCGAAGGAGTCCAGTTCCAAGTTGGTCTCTTAACCATATTCTTCCTTAACGCAATTCAAAAACTGAGAAATTGGCAACTGTCAACAGAAAATAAAGCTGCAGGAAAATTTGATGATGTGGTTCTGGAATGGCCCGAGGGAGCTACGTTACTGCAAGCCAAACACAAGCAAAATAAATCAAAGAAAATCACTTTCGAAGAACTGATCTCCACTAACTCAAAAAATGACGATTTCAGCCTTCCAAAGTATTTTTTGTCTTACAAAGAGATTAAGAAGACATTTAAATTAAAAGAAGTTATTATTTGCACAAATGCGACTGTCGACGGAAATACTATAAAGTTCTTAAAGGCACAAAAAGTTTCTCCAGAAAGCATGTTACATTATGAAAACAGTGACTGCAAATTATATACATTCAGTGACGAAATTTTGCCTTATTTAAAAGAAAATATAAAGATTTACTATAAAAAGAATTTCCAAAATAAAGATATTGAAGGATTAGATATTACAAATGAGAACATTAAAGATTTTTTGGGACATTTACAATTCTATTCCAATTATCCACCAGGAAATAATGTTGGAAAAATTATGGAACAGCTGTTATCTCACATGAACCTTTTGAAAAATTCATATGATGCAATATCACCTTTAGAAATATACACCAAAATATTAGATTGGTTCCAACAGAAAGATGGTATATATTTAACCGATCTTTATGCTACAGCTATATTCTCTGAAATATGGAGAGACAAACATTGGCAAAGATTGGAAAAATATAATGTATTCTTTCACTGCAACAACTTAAATTTGCAAAACTCCAGAAGAATGTTGCATGTAATTGCTGATGGTATGTGTTTGTTGCAAGAAATAAAAATTTTTCGCACGTTGCAAAATAATAAAACGAAAATTCTATTAATCAGTCCTGATGATGGCACTGAAAATCAGAAGCAGGTCATAGATGCATTCAGCCTGCCCCAATACACTACTTTAGTAATCATTTCACCCAAATTTACAGAAGAATCTGTAATAAAGGAAGTTAGCTGTAAACTGAAAAAGATTTTAGATAAATATGAATATAAAAATGTTGTGCTGATAGCAAATTGTAATAATAAAGCGTCTCACCTTATTGGATTACATAACAATCACTACGATGTCAAAAATGAATCTATAACATTTGAAGATCTGTCAGTGGGTACTCAGGCGAGTTTATTGAAAAAAGAAAATATAATATTTCAAGGCAGGGGCATCAGTTTGGAAGAGATATTGGCAACACCAGCAATTGAAGATTATAGTAAATTCTTAAATTATGAAATATTAGAAAAGCTGGTTAGAGATGAAAAGATTTATGTAGGGGCACCACTTTTAGAGCTGGATGAGCATATTAGCCAATTTTACATAAAACGCAGGTTTAAGAGAGGAATCAAGAAAAACAAATATGAAAAGACAAAATTTGCAATGGGAGAAGTATTCCCCGAGGAACTGATTTGTGAGATGAATGAAAAAATACTGTTAATATCAGATAGTGCTGGCACGGGAAAGAGCACCGTTTTGACTAATTTATCAGTCACAATAAAGAAAAAATATCCTCATCTATGGATTATCCGAATCGATCTTAAAGATTACACACATATATTAAAGGATTTTTTGCGGAAAAATAGAAAAACAATAAATATACTGGATCTATTAAATTCTAAATATTTGACTAAATTTACAAATCAGTTAGAAGAGGCAGTATTTTCAATGAAAGGAAAAGTAGTGCTATTGCTCGATGGGTTTGATGAAATCAGCCCAGATTACACTCAACTAGTTTTAAGCTTACTTTCTCTATGCCGGGAACAACAAAACTTTGTCAAAATGTTCGTTACAACCAGGCCACATGCGGCTTTAGAGTTGGAAGAAAAGTTGCAAGTAGAACCATTTATACTGCAACCTTTTACAGAACAGAATCAAATCGACTTTCTCACTGGCTATTGGATGCATAATTTAAATGTTGGCAATATTTATAGAAATAAATGTGAAGAATATGCTAAGGCACTGATAAAGATGTCTTGCTGGGTTCAATTGATACAACAAGGGGCAAATCATTTTGCTGCAATACCACTACATGTTCAGATGCTTGCAGAGATTTTTCAAGAAAACAATCAACTTGAAATATCAGAAGACTGGGAAGGCTGTAAAGAATATTTAGTTGCAGATGAAGTTGAACCAAAGTTGCCTGAAAGCATGAATGTTACAATACTGTACAAAATGTTTATAAAAAAAAAACGAAATGTGTTTGTCGATAAAGGTAATCCAAGTGGCAACACGGCAGCAAATCGAGCTCTAATTGATCAGTTTGAAGAATGCTTTGTTTTCCACAGAAGTTTGGCTTTAGAACTGATTCTGGGTACAACAAGATGTGAACTTTTCTTATGTTATCGTCAAACTCCCATAGATTTAGAAATGAATGTTTTAAAAATAGGCATTATACAAAAACTGGATAATGAATTCCACTTTGTACACCGAACGTTTGCAGAATACTTTGTTGCCGAAAGTCTAATAGAAGAATTGCAACTTCCAAATCAAAATGTAGAGTTCCAGAGGTTTTTGATTGAAGAAATATTGTTGGATCTTCAGTTTAACGTTATTCGTGTTTTCTTCAACAATTTTCTGCAGCAGATCGTAGATGATTTGTCTTGCAAAACTTTCCATAAATATCAATCTATCTCTTATGAAATTACTTCCTCTGATATACATAAATTCAACTTACTTCATTACCTTGCAGAAAATGGTCAGTTAGCAATTCTGCAACTTATTTTGAAATGTATCGAATTGAATTTTATTACAAAAGTACCAATCACCTCCGAACAATTGTTTGATGCTTTTTTAGAAGAAAATGATTCAGAACGAGTACATGGTAATATATTAAATACCATACATACCTGCGTACAACAGGAGGGATTAGATGTTAAGGATATATTTCAAGACAAAACGCTTCTTGAATATGCTGCAGTAAATGGCCATTTAGAAATGGTTAAATTTCTTGTTAAACAAGGAAGCAATGTAAACATTGGTAACTTTAAACCTCTCCATCTAGCTGTGGATGGTGGCCACTTCGAAGTGTCACAGTTTTTGATAGAGCAAGAAGCAGACATTAAAGCACTAGATCCGTACCATCATACTACTATATTGTATAAAGCTGTCTTACGAAATGATATTACTATGGCCACATACCTTTTGGATAGAATGTTGAAGAGTGGTGGTTCAAATATAAGCGATTCTATTACTCCATACACGGCTGCTTATTTGGGTAGGTTAAATACTCTTAAAGAATTTGTGAAACAAGGCCTGGACATTAATAGCAGAGTGGAAAATGAAGAATCTGTTATTTTTGGTGCCATTCGAGGGGGACAACTAGAAACTATCAGGTACCTAGTGCAACAAGGATCCCACATCAACAGTAGGGACCTGTGGAATAACACGGCCCTTCATATAATCTCACAAAATGCATCAATTACCTCCACAGTTAAATTGTTAGTGGAGTTAGGGATAGACATTAATGCTAAAAATTTCAATCTTATGACGGCACTTCACATTGCAGTAGAAAACGGTAATTTTGACTTAATTGATCTACTAGTGAATTGTGGAGCCAATGTAAATTTAGAGGATGAAAATGGTAATACTGCTCTTCACATAGCTGCTTCAGATATTCAAGGATACATCATAAAACTCCTTGTGGAACACGGTGCAAATATGAATAATGGGGATAAATATGGTCGCACACCCTTACATTTAGTTACTTTGAATAGCGCCACTCTCTTTAAAAACTCCAATGAACAATCTCTTAAATATTATGAAAATTCAATAGCCCCTATGGATCATTTGGATATTATCAAGTTACTTATAGAACATGGCGTAGATGTTAATGTTAGAGACTCTAATGGTTCCTGTGCTCTTCATTTAGCTGCTTCATCCGGTCGATTGGATATTGCCCATTTGCTTATGGAATTCGGAGCTGATGCTAATATTAAAGACAATGATGGCAGAACAGCTCTACATTTAGCAGCTTTTAGGGATCACACAGACATTATCGAGCTTCTCATGCAACATAATGGAGATATTAATATTCAGGATAATGAGGGATACACGATAATACATTATTTATTATTCTTTGTAGATCAGTTAGACATTCTCAAATTGATTATAGAGAAAGGCGGAAATGTTAATATTAGAGACAAAAATGGCTGTACAGCTCTACATTTAACCACTACATGGGGCAACTTGGATGCCGTTATCCTCCTTGTGGAATTTGGAATCGATGTTAATGTTACAGACATCGAGGGCAGCACTGCACTACATGTAGCTGTAAACAAAGGTCACTTTAGTCTCATTGAATACTTGGTAAAAATAGGTGTGGATGTTACAGTTAGAGATAACTGTGGCCATACAGTATTGCATTTAGCCATTGAAGCATGTAGTTCGGATGTTATATCACCTTTTATGAGACTTCCCCATCATTATAATGATATAGATGTTAATGATTGTACAATGCAATATCTCACTTTTAATGCAGTAGATATTGGTGCTATAAATTTCGATGATTGCTTGGACTCGACAAATATGGAACCCAGAGGAAAGAAGCTCTATTTAGACATTATCAAGATTGTTGTCACAAAATGTGGTGAGGTTGTTGATATTAAAGATGAAACTGGATGTACAGCTTTGCATCTAGCTGTCTTAAAAGGTCAAATGGAAGTTGTTAAGTTGCTTGTTGAACATAATACAGATGTTAATATTAAGGACCATCGCTGCTGCACTGCTCTCCACCTAGCTGTTAGGGACGATAGGCTAGACATTGTCAAATTACTTGTGGAACATGGCGCTGTTGTTAATAATCAGGACATTGATAATAACACAGCACTGCATATAGCGACTCGTGAGGGTCACAAGGAAATTGTCAAGTTTCTTGTAGAATGTAATGCAATTGTTGACATTAAAGATCGTGATGGACGTACATCATTGCATAAAGCTGTTGAAGGAAGTAACCTGGATATTGTACGTTTCCTTATAGAAAATGGGTCAGATGTGAACGTTGCAGATAATAAAAGTGTCACTGCATTACATATAGCAGCTGGCTGGAATTTGCATCTTGTAATGTTCCTAGTTGAGCAAGGTGCTGACATTTATGTAGAGGATTGCACTGGAGACACACCTGCAATAGTGGCTAAGAGGAAAGGCCGCATAGACATATTCAAGTACTTGCAGCAAGAACAGAGTTTGAGGAACAGATTATTCTATTGAGTTAAATTAATAGCTTTGTTCTTGGTGGTAATCCTGGACTAATTCAGGATGAGTTAAATTCAAACAAATCTTGTGCCCACCGTTTAAATTCATCCAGAACTACTTCAGGATTACTACCACGATTAAAGCTAATAAATATAGTAAAGACAGGACCGACACAAAGTGTGTGTAGGGGAAAATATGGAGTTTTCAGACAACTTACTTTTATACAAAGCTGCACCTCTGAGAAGAGATAGTAGCTAAAAAATATCCCAAAAATAAAAAAAAATAATATCTTGGAAATTGTTTTATATATAAAAATCAAGTTTGGTATATGAATTACTCTGGTTGTTAGTTTGACAAGGAGAAGGCAAGGTAATCAGATTTTTCTAATTTTTGATATTTATAATACGTGTAGTTTGGACGTTGAATAAGAATTTTCCAAAGTAGTTCGACGCAACCTTCATAAATTACCGAGATAATCCATTTTGAAGTTTTACCTGCCAGCTAAATCCACTAGATGCGACACTTTTTTAAACTGGGAGTGGCCTAGTTGGTAACGTTCGGTTCCGACAGTCACGAGATCGCGGGTTGCGGCTGCGTGACTACCAGTGGCGGAGTAGAGACAATGGTGCAAGGGGAACAGAGGCGAGTTAAAGGCGATTTGAAAGCGGCTTCCGCAATGTTGGAGGAGTTCGACCCGGAGGACCATGACTCCAATATCGATAGATGGTTGTCCATGATAGATCAGTTGGGCGAGGTGCATGGATGGTCTGAGTATAAAAAAAGCTATTTCATGCAGATGAAATTAAAAGGCGCGGCGAGAACATGGTTTAATAGGCGAGATGATTTTCAGCTTAGCTGGGCGGAATGGAAGGTAAGCTTGAAGAGGGCGTTTCCCAGGCAGCATGATTTTGCTGTCTGTCTGGAGGAACTGGTGGAAAGGCGCAAAGTGGCGGACGAGACCATGACTCGATACTTCCATGCAAAATTGGCGTTGTGTGGACGTGTTGGTATTGAGGGCGAAAAGGCAGTGGCGTGTATAATAAGGGGATTGCCAGAGGAACTTCGAGCGAATGCTTATGCGTGTAGGTGCGACACACCTGAGGCGTTGTACTCGCAGTTTCTCGCGGGTTTGGAAAATTATAGGTTTCCTAGGGCGACAGGAACCATTAGGAAGGGCGAGTCCTACTCTTCAGTGGCGAAGGCGAGGCGTTCAAGTACAGGGGCGACGAAGAGTAGGAGACCGGCGACAGGAAATGCCAGGCCATTAAGACGCTACAACTGCCAAGAATATGGGAACCATATGAGTAGGGACTGCCCGAAGCCTAGGCGGGAGAGATGCAGTTACTGTGGAAATGAAGGCCACTTCTTCGAGAGGTGTCCCAAGAGGCGAAGACGTGGCGATCAAGAGAGCAGCGGCGAGAAGGGCGACACTCCGGTGAAAGTCAGCTTGGTAAGTCAAATTTTTGATAATACTTACAAGAAATGGGCGACAATTAATGGCGTACAAATCAAGGCATATATTGACACTAGATGCCAACATAACTTACTGGCGGACCAGTGCGCTGAGCGCCTGGGACTAGACGTGACGCGGTAGTCCACGTTCTTGCAAGGTTTTGGTGGTGGTTTAGGCGCAGCCCATGGGTGGACAATCTGTAATGTGATTGTGGATGGCGTCACTTTGGCGATCACAGTGTTAGTGACACTGTGTGACATATCTAATGCTGATTTAATTCTAGGGTAACCGGCAATAGGTGCAGAGGGCGTTACAATGGTGGTGGCGGACGGCAAGGCGACATTCATCAAAGAAAAGGAGGTGGACGACCTGTTGAGGGACATTACTCTTCAAGAGGACACTTCAAGGCGCTGTGTGTTATTGAGGGAGGATGTTACCCTTGAGCCAGGCAGCGTTCACAGTATAGGCGTTACTATTGATGGCGCTCTAGTAGGCGAAGAAGTATACATGGATGCCAAAATGGTGGAGGCAGGACAATATTCACTGGCGTTTCCAAGTGGTGTATTGGCGCAGGGTGATGATAGTCAATTACTGGTGACGAACCTGGGACCAGGACAGGCAATATGGAAGAAGGGGCGAGTACTGGCGAGAGCAATCACATGCACTGAGGCTGTTACACAGGCGCAGAGTCAGATTGTGCAAGGAACAAGGGTGAGTACTGTAAACACTCTTTCATTAGTAGACCTTGACATTGGTGATATCAGCCCAGGCGATAAGACGTTGTTATTAGAACTGTTAGGGCGCAAAGCACATTGTTTCTCTTCTGATGATGGCGATTTAGGTTTGACGCATTTGGGCGAGATGCAGATCAAGCTGATGAAGGATACCCCGATTTATTATAGGCCGTATAGGCTTTCTATTGCAGAGAGGCGACAGGTGAGGGAAAAGGTGGCGACCCTGTTGGATAGTGGCGTTATTAGGGAATCTGATTCCGAGTTTGCAAGCCCCATTGTGCTTATCAATAAGAAAGAGGGCGGTATCAGATTGTGTGTGGATTATAGGGCATTAAATGCAATCACTGTGAAGGATCGCTATCCATTACCATTGATTTCGGATCACCTAGATCGTTTGGTGGGAAAGTGTTACTTTTCAACCTTGGATAAGGCGCAAGGATACCATCAGGTGCCGATGCACTTTGATTCAATTCACAAAACGGCGTTTGTGACTCCAGATGGGCAGTACGAGTACACTAGGGTTCCATTTGGTTTGGCAAATTCTCCGGCGGTTTTTCAGAGGATTATAAACAAAATGTTAGGCGGGTTGCAGCACAACCAAATTTTGGCATACATGGATGACTTATTGATCCCAACGGCGACGGTGTCAGAAGGATTGGGTCTGTTAGAACAGGTACTAACTTTAATAGGCGAGGCGGGGTTCAAGTTGAATAGGGCGAAATGTTCATTTTTGAAACCATCTATAGAGTATCTTGGCCACGAGGTGAGTGGGAGTGCCATTAGACCTGGCCTGGCAAGGCGAAAGCAGTGAGCGAGTTTCCAGTACCAATGGATGTTCATACAGTAAGGCAGTTCATTGGGTTGGCGAGTTACTTTCGCAAGTTCATTAAGAATTTTGCAACTTTGTCGAGACCTCTTACAGAACTTACAGCTAAAGGCGTTGACTGGCGATGGGATGATGAGCAGCAGCAGGCATTTGAGCAGCTAAAATCACTATGGGCGAAGCGACCGGTCCTTGGTCTGTATTGCAGTGAATCACTTACGGAGTTGCATACAGATGCGAGCAAAGTAGGGTTAGGTGGTATTCTACTACAGAGACAACCGGGGGCCATTTTAAGGCGATCTCTAACTTTAGCCGGACTACAACCAAGGCGGAGTCTATGAATCATAGTTACGAGCTTGAGACGTTGGCAGTGGTGGAATCAATATGGCGATTTAGAGTTTATCTTATAGGCGTGCACTTTAAGGTGGTACTGACTGTTCAGCAGTGAGGTCGACACTGCTTAAGAGGGATTTGGTGCCTCGAATAGCAGGTGGTGGCTGCTAATTCAGGAATATGACATGGAGGTGGAATATAGACCAGGCACTAAGATGCAGCATGTTGATGCTCTTAGTCGTAATCCAGTTAAGGTGAACCTGGTTGGTATTGCAGAGGCGGATTGGTTTTTAACGGTTCAGTTGCAGGATGACAAGATACAGGCAATTGTCAGGGCGTTAGAACAGGGCGACGCTGATAAGGATATAAAGGCGAATTTTAAGGTAAAAGAGGGGCGATTATGGCGCATTACAGTAGATGGCGATAGACTATATGTCCCTTCTAGTGCAAAGTTTAGTCTGGTGAGTAAACACCATGATGATATAGGACATCCGGGATTTGAAAGATGTCTTGAACTCTTAAGGAAAACTTATTGGTTTCCCAAGATGAGGCGGTTTGTGCACAAGTACACGACATCATGTTTACACTGTGCATATGCAAAGGCGAATTATGGGCGAGGCGAAGGGTTCTTGCAGCCTTATGAGAAGAGGGCTGTTCCATTTGATACTGTGCATATAGATCATTTGGGACCATTCGTTAAAAGTGTGAAGCGGAATAGCTATCTCTTGGTGGTGATTGATGCATTTACGAAATATACGCTGGCTAAGCCTACAAAGACTTTGAGTTCAGCTGAGGCGATTGAGAACCTAAGGTGGAATTTGGCGAGTTTGGGTACCCTAGGCGAATAATCTCTGATCAGGGATTGGCATTTACTAGTAAGGCATTTGCTAGTTTTTTGGCGGAGAAGGGGATTAAGCATGTGGTGAATGCTATTGCGTCGCCAAGGGGGAATGGCCGGGTGGAGAGGTCAAACCACACACTCACTGAGGCGATTACAGCGAGTGCGGCCAGCGAGGCGAGATGGGATGAGCAGCTGCCTGAGATCCTGTGGGGAATCAATCACACCATGAATGCCAGTACAAGATTTTCCCCAGCAGATTTGTTGTTCTCCTATCAAGGCGGGCGAGTAGCAGATTTGTCACTTGGCAATGACACTGCTGCAGAGGGGCGAAAACGCGTGCATGCAAATAGGCGTCAGGCGGGCGAGCGTTTGCGTAAGACAGCAGCGCACATGAAGGAGAGATATGATAAAAGGCGTAAGGTTGCAACCGAATATAAAATAGGTGATTTGGTGTTATGGCATCAGGCGGCTACGGCGGTAGGTGAAAAAGGCGTGAATCGAAAAGTGGCAGACAAATACGACGGGCCCTATAAAATTGACAAGGGGTTAGGCAATGATAGGTATGAGATTACTTCTCTCCAAGGCGTGAGAGGGTATAAGAGATTTAAAGCTGTAGCGGCTGTGGATGCTTTGAGGCGATATCAAAGCGGCGCTATGAAGGCAGGTGGTGAGTCAGGCGATTCTAATGATAGTGAACTGGATCAATCAGGTCGCCAAGATTTGATTGATCTACTTGAAGGCGAGTAATGTATTAATGAGGACATTCATTATTTCAGGATGGCCGATTGTTACCCTAGTAATAATCTTCAAGGCGGACATGAGGCGATATCTGTTGGCAACCGGCGTAAGCCACACTCATGGGTGCTGTATGGGCGGTAGAGACCTGCAAACTGGCAGCAGGGATCTGTTATACCGGCATTTAGCTTGTGATTGGCTGGACTAGGCGATCTACGAGGCGGGGATGGTGGAGGGATCATTTGTGGCGACATATACAAGCTGTTGGTCACGGTGAAGCTGGTGGAGAAAAGTTATTAAAAACGTGAGCAAGTAATAAACTGTAATACAAGTTTTATTTTTTCAATAGCAAGGTTTTTAGGGTGGTATAAAACACCTACTTCACAAATGAAATAAAATTTAATTATCTTCAGTGTTATCCTCCACGAATTTGCAAAGAATAAAATAAAGAATTTGAAACTATCTATCGCTGCTAACACAAAAAAGATATATTTTTTATGTTGCGTTTTTTTGGCACCTCTTACTTGTCAGGCTTTCTGGTTAATTTTTTGTTTTAGTTGTAAATTGGAGTTCGAAACGTTACTATTGTGTCAAAATTAATTTATTTATTGAATTGCAATGGTATTGTCGGAAAGGCAACGCATCGAAATCTTGATATTGCTTGGATGTGGAGACAAAATAAGAAGTCAGGCTGAAGTGCGCGATTTATTTAATGTGAAATATCCCGAAAACAGGGACAGTTAGCAAAATATTTCACAAATTTGAGGAACACGGTACAGTACAGGCTTTGCCCAAAATTAGACGGGCACGTGCTTTGAATGAAGAAAAGAAATTAGACATTGCATTAGAACTTGTTGAAAATCCTCATACTTCAACTGTTTCATTGGCCTGCAATCACGATGCTTCTCGAACTGCAATTCGAATGTTTCTGAAACAAGAGAAATAC